ATTAATATTTAGAAAGCTGGACATAGTGACTCACCCCTTTAATCCCTTGGCAAAGGGAACAGAAGTAGGCAAACCTCCATGATTTCAGGGCCAGATTTAGGAAGTTCCAGGCTAGCCAGAGCTCTAGTGAGGCTGTCTCGAGACTTAGGAGTGGGTATTGAACATACACAGGCGTTTTCCTCTTCCTCTTTGCCTCTAAACAATACAGCACAGTAGGTAATCATTAATATATAGTACTGGTATCACATTAGTTATTACGAGTGACCCTGCTGTGAGTTAAGTTCATGGAAGGATGCGTTAACATAACCTGCAAATACAACCCTGTTGTTTTGCATTCGATACAGTGACTGAACCTTAAGCAACTGCTGTCCCAACTGGCAAGCAAGTCTGCAGCTACTAGCAGAGGTTTGGGCAGGATGGAGCAAGACAGAAAGTCTGTTCCACCAGGCACCAGTTCTTCTCCTTTTGAGACATGGTTTCTCTCTGTAACAGCCCTAGCTGTCCTAGACCTAGCTCTGTAGACCATGCTGGCCTCGAACTCACAGAGATCAGCCTGCCTCTGCCTCCTGTGTTGGGATTAATGATATGCACCACCAACCCAGTTCTATCCTTCTATAGAGCTTGGGATTCAAAGGTTGAGGTAAAATCCTGCTAGCTCAGAGAGGCTGAGTAGCAAACAGCTCACTTTCTCTCCTTGTTCTCATCTCCTGAAAAAAGGGGTGTCCTGTTCAGCCCCCACTAAACAACCCCCATTTCACTTAGTACCTCCTTACCACTTCCTGTCAGCTAGTTGCTCACTCAGCCTCCTGACGCTTCCTGATCAAATAAAATTGATTAAGTTTTATTTAATCAAACAAATATTACACGTCTTTGCATCATTAACAAAAGCAGCAGAAGCAAATGTAGCACGCCTCTCCACAGTTCAAATAACATTCCGCAACAAGCCCCACTGTCCTTAGGGACTTGAGCATCCGTAGATTATGATATCCCTGGAACCTGCCCCCGCACACACCGAAGGATGACTGTGCTTACCCAACTCTGTGATGGAGAATAGGCACCTACCTAGCTCTTCAATAATTCTTTGGGGATTTTGGGACTGAAATTCTGTAGGTCCCCCTGGAACAGAGGCCTGAGAGGACTCTGACACCTGAAGGGACAGTTGGCATCAGGGAGATCTCACGGGAACAATAGGCACTCTGGCACTTAGAGGACACCCGTGGGTCAGAATTCAAGCCGGTCCCCACTCATGGAACAGCAGAAGCTGGCTTCCTGGCTGGGGTCTCTATGTTGAGTACCAGTGCACGGGTGGAACTGCGAATAAATCCAGTTTCCCGGGACTGCACAGATGGGGCGGGGCTCAACAATCAGGCTCAGGTGAAGGTTGGCCAAGAAGAGAGAATGACCCCACGCTTACCTTAGTTCAGTGTAGAAATCTATGCCCTTGGTCAAAGAAACCGGTCCCCCTTAGAGCCATTTAAACACTTCTTTCGTAGACACTAGTGTTTAGTAACTGTTTCCTGATGATCACAAACAGCACCAGGAGAAGAAAGAGATTGGGAACTCAGTGGACCCTGGTAGAAACAGCCGCCACCAGGCTCAGATCCTAGCTGTATGCAGAGTTCTCTGCAGTGGGAATCAGAATCTCTGCTCACAAGCATGTGGACTCTGGGGCTCATGTGGCCCCCGGCTGTTTCCAGCAAACCGAGGTGTTGTGAGTTCACAACCTCACATTACTCCTGGTCCAGCTCGAGCCCTAAGAAATGACCTATTCAGGAGTCACAGAAATGCTTCGTGTCTTGGGGGAGTTAACTGGAGGAATTTCAGCCCCAGAACGCTGTGTCTTCTCAGGCACCCTGCAAAAGTTCAGTCAACTGCTCTCCAGACTGGGCAGAGGCCTCTAAGAATGCTTTCCAGCGCCTGTCTCAACCAAGCTTCAGCATCTCCTAGGACAAACGGTCCCACACCATGTGTGCCATCTTAGCTCCATATATTTTATTCAAGACCCAGGATTAACAATAGGCTCCAAGCCCTGATCAGACACAGAAAGACAGGTCTTCTCTCCCCATTCGTTTTCTGTAGGACTCCACATGGTTTGTGGTACGTTCTAAAGAGTGGTTCTCAATGTGGGATTTCCCCCCCCCTTCCTTCTTTTAATGAATGAGGACTTTGGAGTGACCCCAGTGACCTGTGTGTTAGGCAGCCCTCCAGGTGAATCAGCGCTAAGCCATTTTCCTTGAATGCTGTGATCCTGATGAAGGTTGACTGGAAGAACCGATGAGATTGCAAGGTAAGATTTACAAATGGTGGGGCTGTGGGCCTTATCTCAAGGTGCCTGTCTCTAACTCTTTGTTTCTTTAGTCTTCACACAAGCTGAGTCATAGTCAAGTGGGGAAAGACCCCTGTGGTGCCAAGCTGGATTCCACTTTTTAGGCGTTCAGGGCTTCTGTATCTCTCTGGGGCATCTTTCTGCCCAGGGCTAAGGTATCTTTAACTTGCTGTTTGCCTAGTTGTGGAATGTAACTCCTCCCCCACCCTATCCTTCAGTGACCCTTCTAGGGGCCAGCCACACACCTGGTTATTCAGACTGGAGACTTAGTTCAGACTCCTCCAGTCCTCCCCTGTCCCCAGGCCCCCAACAGGATTCTGTTTCCACTTTTGTCCCTTCCTCCATCCTCGACAAGAAGGTAGGAGACCAGCCTTCTATAACCTAGACACATCCCTCGGACACAGGGAGAGCGGAGCCGGGGGTAGATTCCCTGGATTCTTCATCTACTCCTAGAACCCCCTCTCTATAAACTGTGCGCCAACGGTCCAGCCGCCAAGACAGAGCCCGTTTGCCTCCGTTATTTGTCCAAGAGGCCAGGCAGGCCATGAGCGTGGCACTCAGTCTATAACACACATCACTCACCCAAAAGAAATGATGTCACAACACCAGTTCAGCAGCCATGCGCCCCAGGTTTCTCTTTCTCATCTCTAGAATCTACTCCAGTCCTATCCCGCAGTCCCAGGACAAGTCACTGTCCCTTGAGCAACCCCCAGATATGTCCAGCCTCCTGCCTGCCCAGTGACACCTGCTGTTGGGTGGGCGGCCTTGCTCTCACCCTGGTGCACGACCCAGAAATGCTGCTAAAGGGCACAGCTTGCTAACTGTCGCTGTGAGCAAGTTTGCCAGAGACACTGGTTTAACCTGGTGTGTCCCCTCAAAAGGTGTTATTAATAGTGATGGGGTGAAAGCTGAGAGTCTGAGGTTTTGTTTTTTATTTTGTTTTTGTTTTTGTTTTTTGAGGCAGGGTTTTTCTCTGTAGCCCTTGGCAGCTTGACTGTTCTGAAACTCACTCTGTAGACCAGGCTGTCCTCAAACTCACGGAGATCTACCTGCCTCTGCCTCCTACTGGGACTAAAGGTGTGTGCCCCCACCATCTGAGCTGTTAAAATAATCTTGGTTCAGGAAATCAAAGGACTTCCCTGACAGCCTGAGTTTGAGCCTTAGAACCCACAAGTGAAGGTAGGAGTGAGCTGACTCCACAGAGCTGTCCTCTGATCTCACACACACACATACCATGTCATGGGTCCCTATACACATCATGTATGCACATGTGCACACACACACGTACACACATGTACACTAAATAATTTTAGAAGTCTACTCTTGCAGTTCTTCAGATGAAGTCTATGCCAGGCAGTGGTGGCACATGCCTTTAATCCCAGCAGTCAGGAGGCAGAGATAGGCAGATCTCTGTGAGTTTGAGGCCAGCCTGATCTATGAGAGCTAGTTCCAGGACAGGCTCCAACGCTGCACTGCACAGAGAAACCTTGCAAAAAAAAAAAGGCAAAGATGAAAACCCACTTTCACCCTCATTAGAACACTTTGAGGACATTCAGCCTTAAGTTCTGCTTTTAATTTATTTTTATTTTTACATCGTGTGTGTGTGTGTGTGTGTGTGTGTGTGTGTGTGTGTGAACTATCTGGTCAGAAGCATCCTTTGGGGGCCATTTCTTTCCATTCATCATTATGGGTCACCAGGTTTGGGGGCTGAGCCTTCTCAGGGCCCATCTTCAAATGCTTTTGTTGAGTGGAATTTATGGCATCTGGGCGTGGAGTCAAGACCACCTCCCCAGCCCTGTTCTTAAATTCCAGCAGGTTAGAAGGGGGGGGATAAAGAAGAGCTCTCTTGCTGATACCCACTCCCTGAGACTGAGGAAAGATTGTTTAAACCAAGAAAGGAGAATTACTGGTTAAATCCTGGGATTAAAATGGATAAACTGGAACCCTTAGTTCCAGGTGAGTGACCACCCATTAGATGACACAGCTGCTCACGCCTCCAGGTGAAGCCACAATGTCCCCAGTATCAGGAGGGGTCACGTGCTCTGCCTTTCAAAACCGTGTAAGTCACTAGCGCCAAGCACCCTACCAGGCCAAGCGCCCCAGTCAGATCAGTACCATTCCTAGACAAGCACCCACAAGGCTGAGTGCCACACTGGAAGCCAGTTGTCGGGGGACAGACACCCCACCAGCCACACATCCATGTGCCTTGGATGAGGGTTCAGTTAATTAGCACAAACTGCCTCTGACTCACCCAAACGACTGCCGTTTTTTTTTCCTAACCATCACATTCAGTATTTACAAAAAAATTAAAAATCCAATGTGTGATTCTAAAACCAAGGAATGGGCCGCACAGGCTACTGTGTGAGTCTCCCTTTAGCCCAGTAAAAAGGAAAATGTTGGTTTTGTGCTTTCTCCTTCAAAACAGAATAATAAGTACAGTAGAAAAATAAATAAAAATTATAAAGCAGAACTGTTTACTATCCGTGTTCCCTCTTTCTCCTGTTGTGGAACAGTCAAAAGCTTTTTTTTTTTTTTCTTTTTTGGCCTGGGCTGGGCCCCAGTGGCTGAGGCCCTGTAACTTTAAACCTGGCCTGAGGTCATCTTGTGATGCTGGCCAAACGGAGTCCGGGGGCGGTCCTAGATCCCTGGGCTGGGACCACCTGACGCCCACCCGCTCCCGCCCCGGTTGAGAGACATAAATGCTGTCTGTGCCGCCGAGGAGTTGCCAGCTGCCAAGTTTGCTGTTCTGCTGCTGCCGCGAGCCAAGGAAGCCCGGGCACTCACTGGGACTTTTGCTCACCGCCTTTCAGTCTGCTGCAGAGTTCTTCCCGGCTGGGCCTGTAGTTGCGAAGCCTTTTTTCCATCTTTTCACAACCACAAAAACCACTAGCTGCTGAGGCTCCAACGAGATCAAGATGTGGACGGCGCCGGTGTTGTTCTGGGTTTTGGGGAGCGCGTGGTGCTGGCACTTTGTGCAGGGAGGTAAGTGTCCCGGCCAGAGTGGCTAACAGCTCTTGCTGGTGGGGGGATGAAGGGAGGCGTGGATTTTCTGGGATCGGAGAGTGCCCGGGAGAAAGCTGGGGCAACTTAGATGGGGCCAAGTCCCCAGGAACAGTCAGTGGGTGCTGCGGAAGTAGTCCGGATCCACAGGTGGTAGGGGTACGGAATGTCTCCCTCCTCCCGGGGGAGGGGGGAGACTAATGTCGTGGGGCGGGAGGGTGATGCCAAGGGAGACTGGACTGGTCCAAAGAGCAGGGTATTAGAGGAATAGTTAATGTCTCTGGAAGAGAGGAACAGGCAGGAGGATAGGTTGGAACCAGGGGTCCCATCCTTGGGGACAGGTAGCACGGGTGGGAGGCGAAACAACTCGGAGTAGAGGAGGGGAACTGAAGGCTGCTGTCTTTCTAGCAGTCTTGTCTCTGCCTCCTTCCTCTTTTGACTCCAGCGCTGGGAATGGATGGAACCCAGGGCGTCCAACATCTAAAGCTGTACCTCCTAACCTGGAGGATCGCCGTGAGGTGTAAGTGTGGTTGAGGCCAAGGACTCAGTGGCTGACTTAGCGTTAATAAAAGACCAATGGAGCTTAAGTGCGCTCAGTAGGCAAAGTCCTTGCCTTGCAGGCCTGATGCTCTGGGTTCCATCCCCAGCAAGGCGCAAAAAACAGCTTAGTGATGGTCACCTGCGTGATCTCAGCATCTTCGGGGAAACAGGCGGGAGGATGACGTTTTCAAGGTCATCCTGGGGGCTACACAGTGAGTTTGAAAGCAACCTGAGCTTCAGAAGTGAACCTACCCTGTTTCATTTCTTGCCTTGCGTTTTTAGTTGTGTCTTTTTCCCTGGGGAATCTAAGCTCTAACTTTGACCCAAAACATCACCTGCTCCTCAGCAAGCTAGTGATCTTCAGAGATGGAGCCCTGTCCTTCCCGGGAAGGAAGTGGTCTGTGTGAGACGGGTGAAGCCTATCCTCGGCTTCTATAATTCTCCACCGACAACACCTACCTAGTCTTAGGGAAATTATACAGCATGCACCGGGCGGGGTTGTCTGCTTCAAAGAGGCGAAGCTACTCTTTATGGCGCTCTGGGCTATTCCTGGCAGTCCTATCTTTGAAACTTCTCCTTGCACTATGATGATATATACAGTTCTGTCTTTCAGTTCTATTTCTGGTTTGGCGAGACAATGTGTGTAAATGGCGTGGCTTTTCACTCGCCCCAACCACATCCGAGGAAAGCCAGAGACTGGCTAGCATCCTCTCAGGCAAGGGTAGGCTGCAACTCTCAGAAGCCAGTTTCCAAGGTGCTCCTAAGATGTAGCTGCTGTTCGGTCATGTCTAGAAAGAGTCTTCGTTGTGCTATGTTAGAAACTGTACAACTGAAGAAAGAGGCCTGGGAAAGAAAGGGGTGGCCATGTGGCCAGTTCTCTGCAGGCTGTTCTGCTGCAAGATTGAAGCCTATAGGGGTTTTGTCTGAGAATAATGAATATGGATGAGCAACACCATTGAGCTGAGGTATTTATTATTGGGGAGCCAGACTGGAGGTGATTGTGGTGTGCTAATTCTATTAGGGTCATGTGCCATGATTTAGTATTATAATCCAACCCCCTTTGCCATCTCTAAAGTCTTAGGGGATTCTAAAGAGGCCTGTTGTCCTCACATCTGGCATCTTCCTCCATTGCCAGGCCCCACCCTTGCTCTGAACATTCATCCAAAGCCTGTACCCGAGGGCCTGTCCGCTAGACAATTAATTTTTGTAAGATTCTGAAAGTCGCTGCTTGCTGCTAACCCATGTGTGCTCTTCCGGGACCAGTCCAAACAGGATTAATCATGTGGCAAAAAATCATCCTGTGATTTCCCTGAAGTTCTTGCCAGTTTGGGGGAGGTGAGGAGCTGGAATCCTCTGTTGTTGCTGAGGGTTTTTGGTGCAGAGGCCTTGAATAAAGGCTCGTTCTCTTAGAGATTCTGCGAGGGAAGCTCGGGCTTATGATCCCAACCTAGGTTCAGAAGGGAAAAGCACATTTGAAGGTTTGTGTTCGGCCCCGGAAGGCTGAGTGTCCCCGTAACCAACAGTACTAAACTCAGTTCACCACTTACTGACTCAGTGCTGGCACAGATCGAGACCCGAATCTTGGCATGAGTGAGGATGGCCCTGCCTAGTGGGCAGGGTACCACTTCGTTGCATTCCCATCCCCCACCACATTCTAGGAATGTCACCAGACTACCTCATTTAATCCCCGACAACTCCTGTAAATTATACACTATTATCTCAGAAGCTGCCAGAACAAAGATTCAAAAGCAAAGTCAAACTCCTCACTACTTCTGAACTAAGAGAAGGAAAAAAAAGGAGACAGTTGAACTTGACACCAAAGGTGGACTTCGCTATCAGTCCCTTAAACATGAATACAGACTTTCCTAGATTTTTTTCAGTTATACGCTCCCCACACTGGAATCGGTGCATCAAAATAGATTGCCTTAGTTCATCCTGCTCACAGGTGCTAAATACCTCCCAAGAGGGTGCGGCAGGAGGCTGGGTGCAGGAAAGCCGAACGTGTGCTCCGCCGTCCTCGCCAACCAAGAATGAACCTGTGCCTCAGATTGCCCTGGCTTATCTGAATTTTTGTCATAGTTCCGGCTTCTGAGAACAGGCATTCCAGGTTACAACTTGTGGAAGTATTTCGGGGGAGGTTGAGAAGGCAGCAAACTCAAATACCAGTCTTTCCCGAAACCCTGCAGAGGATCCCCAGCCCGACATCCATCGCTCAAGGAAACCCTGCTTATCCTGAAACCTCTCACTCAGGGAAGAAACCAACGGGGTCTTGTTAGAGGAGGGTCCATGACTGGAGAGGCTGAGATACGCTCAAAGCTGATGAGGTTGCTCACAGAGTTCTCACGGAGTACACAACAGTTTAAGCTCCCTTTGCCTGCAATTCTGAGTACTTTGTCAATAGATGTCTTAAATTGTGTGTGTGTAGGCCAAATCTTCCTCAATGACTCCACACCCTATTTTAGAGACACTGTCTTATTGAACCTGGGGTTCACCAATTGCTAGACTGAACAATGGCCCTCAGGAATCTGGTTGCCTCTACCTCCCCAGTGTTGCGGTAACAGGTGCACCCCGCTTTTTGTGTGAGTCTGGGGGTTGGAACTCAGATCCTCGTGTTCGCATGGAGAATCCTTTACTAAACGAGCCCCCTCTCCATCCCCTGGAAAGTTCTGGGAAAGGAAGGTGATCAGGCTTTTCATCCAAGATGTAATGCAGGATAGAGCCAGGTTAGGAAACAACTGGCCTTCTGCCAAGTTCATCCAGGGCAGGAAATGGAGGTGTCTGTTTCCTCCCACATGTCTAACCACAGCGCCTGGCTGTCCGTCATTCCAGCCCATTCATGACCAGCCAGGTGATGGGAGACTCTTGAACATTAACGGAAAGAGTAGAGCAAGGTTAGAGAGACAGCTGGACGGATAAGATGCTTGCTGTGCCAACGTGAGAGCCTTAGTTTGGTTCTCAGAACCATTTAAAAAAGCTGGGCCGCAGCAGGGATTTGTAATCCCGGTGCTAGGAATGCAGAGCCAGCCAGGTCCCTGAGGCTCTCTGGCCAGCCGGTCTAGCCCAATCCACAAACTCCAGACCAGTGAGACACCCTGCCTCAAAAAATACAATACCTAGAGACTAATACCTGAGGTTATCCCTTGGCTACACACACACACACACGCACACACGCACGCACGCACGCACGCACGCACGCAGGCATGCATACCAGTACGTCTGTATTTGTATCTGGTCTCGTGTCTTTGCCTCTGAGAACAGTTTGTATTTGAAGGTAAATTTGGCAAGTTCAGAGGGAGATTTTTGACCGTGGCCAGCTGATCACTTCCTTGGAGAAACAGAAGACAAACACTGTAGAGGCAAGGCAAAATGGATGCAGTTTCAAAACCAGAAAACATATGCAAAGGATGCAGATGAGCTCGTGGCTTCTGTCCACAGGGGCAGAAATTGCAGAAGTGCCTGGAGAGGTGTGGGCAGGTCAACCTGCACAGCAGCGGGGCTCGAAGAGCTTCTGTTCAATTGGCAGGGTCCAGGGGAATGCCAGTAGTTTGCAGTACAGTTGGAGGCCTGGGAAGCAGGGGTGCAGAATGTGTAAACAGCACTGAGGAGCAGGGTATTTCCCAGAGGCCATCACTGTGTTTTCGTCAGGGGGAATAAAAGACAGCAAACAAACAAGGCTGTAAAGCAGAGGGGGGGTGCCCCACCCGAGGGAGAAAGGACTTAGTTTGTCTGGCATCTCTAGAAAGGGAGAGAGGGAGAGAGAGGCAACCGCCCTGCCCAAGGAATTTGCTTATTTAGCAAATACTTACTGAGTCCTTGCTATGTGTTCAGGCTTTGGAGCCTGGTGTTATCCTGCTTTGAGCTCCTAAGGGGGTGTCCGATCCGGCAGCCTTGCGGATTCTGACCTCAGTAAGGTTGTGTCCTTGAGCATTAGAGGTCTTTGTTCCCTTAATCTGGCAACACATTCCATCCAGTGCTTTTGTTCTACAGAAGATCAGTCATCTCCAGAACCTTTGTCACTGGAGAGGGGCATGACATTGGCGGCAAATATATGCATAAAGTGCAGAAAAACAAGTCTTCTATGTGTGTGCGCATGCGCAGATGTGGAGGCCAGAGGAAAATATCTTGTCATCCTTTTTTAAAAATTTTATTTTAAGATTTTTTTTATTTTTAAAAATTGTGTGAATGCATATATGTCTATGTGGGGGTATGCAGGTGCCCACAGAGGCGGAAGGAGTCAGATCTCACAACATGCAGAGTTACTGAGAATTGTGAGCAGCCCCAAGTGGGTGCTGGGAACCAAACCCAGTTCCTTTGGCAGTGTAGTATGAGCTCTCAACCACTGAACTATCTTTCTCTTCAGCCTCCCTGCATGGTTTCTCAGAGACAGGCTCTCTCACTGGTCTGAACCTTGCCAAAAGCACCAGGTTGCGGGGCCAACAAGC